TCAAGTATGTTGAACATCCATATGACCGTTTCTTTGAATTCTTTATCAGTCAGGTTACTTATCTCAGTTTCATTAGAATTTTTTTCCAGGGTTTTTTCTTGTTTCTTCATTTGGGGCATATGTTTCCCCATTTTGTTTGACTTTCTTTGTTTGTCTCTATGACTTAGATGAAATACCTATCTCTCCCAATCTTGGAAAAGTGGCCTCTGTATAGACTGTGTGGTTTTGGCAGTCCAGTGGAGAGCACATGGGGTACCTGGGGTGCTGCCTGGCCAGAAGGAATAGGTTCTGGGTGGGGCAGTCTGGTATGTGTGTGCTTCTTTGCCCTTCTGTTCCAGGTAAAGCTGTCTGGTATGGACTGGGCTGCCAGATGTGCATGCAGCCACTCTGTTGCTTTAATTGTCTGTTGCCCAAACTGCATCTGGGTGGGGCTGCTCTGAGTGCCCCACTAGGTGAGCACTTTCTCCAGGTGGGCAATCCTGCATGCATGCACTGCCACACCTTGCTAGTTCTACACCATCTCCTGATGGGGCAGCCCCACATGTATGCACAGGAGCACTCCATTATCTCCATATTTTCTCTGGATGGAGCAGCCCTGCATGCAGGTACCACAGCATTTTGCTGGCTCCACACTCTCTCCAGGTGGGGGAACCCCATGTGCACATGCAGCCTAGCAGATGCACTTAGCAGAGTCCTGCTGCACCTGTTGTATCAATCCCCAGTCCCCATTTGTGCATGCTATGGTGCCCTCTTATTCTTGCTGGATCCAGCTTTGGGAGGGGTAGCTGGGGACATGCTACAGCATCCCTGAAGGTTGGCCAGAGAACCTGAATAGAGCGCCCATCTGCTATCAAGTGCTGGAGAAAATTACACAGTTGTGCTTACCTGTTCCTCCGGTCCTGTATAGTTCCCCCCAGCTCCCAGAGAACTCTCACAGTTTTCCATCCTTCTCTATTTTCTCTCTCCCTCTCCCTCTCCCTCTCCCTCTCCTTTTCCTGCTTCTGCTCCCTCTTCCTGTCCCTCTCCCTCTCTCTCTGTCTCATTTGTTGTACCAGAAGCTGTACAATAGGCTTTCAGTTGTCTCTCAGGAAAAATTGCCCTAAATATAGGTCTACGTTCAATTTTCTTGAGAGGGGGAAAGCTCAGCATTCTCTTATGCAGCCTCCTCTTCTGCCACTTTTTAATATTTGGAAAATCCTTCCCCATTACAAGGTCACTCTCTTGTTGTCTGGTTTTATTGTTTCTTTTTTACCTTTAACTATTTAAGCTATTTGAAATCTATTGGATGAATAATGTATCCCTTTGCCTGATAAGTTTGTGATACTTCCTTAACATTCATTAGGTTCTTATCTATACTAAGATCTGTTTCAGTCAACTGATCTTTTTTTTTTAATAGATGGTATTTTGTAGGGAAAGTCTTCCCTCTTTATTATTTTTTCTAAATGTTCTTAACAATTCTAACTTAATATTTTGACAACTAAACAATAAAATTATTGAATCAAGTTGATTTGGCAATAAACCTAATGAATTAATTTAAGAAGAGTTGATATATTTAAGATATTCAGGTTTCTAATTTTTTTCATTTAAAAAATCTCTTCAACTATATTTATTACATCTTTATCAGTTCTACTTTTGTCTATGCATGTTTTCTTTTTGTTTTTTCTTGATTACGTTTACAGGGAATGGTTTATTGTACTTTTCTTTTGGAAAAAAAAAAATCAACCCCAGAGGTTTGTTTACTAAATCTGCTGATATTCTGCTTTGTAACTAACACATTTCTAGAATCATCTTTAATTTATTTCCTGATTTCTATTTTCCTTAGGTTTGTTTTATTGTTTTTTTCATAAGTTTTTTGAGATAAATTTTAGTTTGTTTACTTCCATCATTTTTTATAATGGCAGCATTTACCTTTAACAACTTGGACCATATTCCATAATATTCTGATTCTCATAATTAACTACAGAGTTTGTAGTTGATATTTTTAAAACAGCTTTTTATGAAATATAATTTATGTACCATCAATTTCACCTGTTATACAATTCAATGGGTTTTAATATATTTAGAGAGTTGTGCAACCACTACCATAATCTAATTTTAGAACATTTTTGTTACCCTCGTTATCAGTTACTTCCCATTCTTTTCTCCTCCCAGTTCTTGTCAACCACTACTCTACTTTCTATTTCTATCAATTTACCTATTCTAAACATTTCATATAAGTGGAATTATATAATATGCAGACTTTTATGTCTGGCTTCTTTCACTTAAGTGTAATGTTCTCAAGGTTCTTCATATCATAGCATGTACCCGCACTCCATTCTTTTTTAGCTGAATAACACTCCATTGTATGGATACACTACATATGATTTATCTATTGCTTAGCTGATGGGCATTTGAGGTTTATTCTACTATGGTTACTGTGAATACAGTGCTGCTGTGAACATTCATGTACAAGTTTTTGTGTGAACATATGTTTTCATTTCTCTTGGGTAGATATCTAGGAGTAGAACAGCTGGGTCATATGGTAATTCTATGTTTAACCTTTTGAAGAGTTGCCAAGCTGTTTTTCAAAGTGGCTGCAGCATTTTACATTCCCACCAGCAATGAAAGTTTGTTTCTTCACATCCTCACCAACATTTGGTGTTTCAATCATTTTTATTGTAGCCAATCTAGTAGGTGTGAAGTGGTATCTCATTGATTTACAATGACAACTTATGATGACTAATTATGTTGAATATCTTCTCATGTGCTTATTGGATGTTCATGGAGCTTTTTTAGACAATGTCCATTTTTAATTGAGTTAGTTGTCTTTTATTTATTGATCTGTAAGAGTTATTTATATTCTGGATATTAACCCCTTATCAGATACATGATTTGCAAATATTCTCTCCCATTCTCTGAGTTTTATTTTCACTTTCTTGATGGTGTCATTTGAAACACAAAAGTTTTTAATTTTAATGAAACTCAACTTATCTTTTCTTTTAACACTTAGGTTTTGGTGTCATAACTAAAAAAATCATTGCCTGACCCAAAGTCACAAAGATTTACTCCTATATTTCCTTCTAAGTGTACTATACTTTCAGTTCTTTAATCTAGGTCTATGATCCATTTTGAGTTCATTTTTATATATAGTGTGAGATCAGGGTCCAACTTCATGCTTCCCATAAAAATATCCAGTTGTCTCTGTGTCATATGCTGAAAAAATTATTCTTTCCCTATTAAATTGTCTTGGCACCTTTGTTAAAAGTCAATTGATCGTAAATATGAGTATTTATTTTTGAACTCTCAATTCTTTTCCATTGATCTATATGTCTATCCTCATGCCAGTACCATGTAGTCTTGATTATTGTGTAACTGAATTTTTAACTTTTTCTTCGGTATATAAAAGCATATTAAAAGCATATTTTTAAACTTTTAAGTTTCTAGAAACTTATTTTAATATTCAGATTTATTGCATTGTGGTCATTTAAGCTTTAAGTTTTTTAGTTTAACTTAATTTTTTTCGATTATAGCCAACATTCAGTACTATTTTACATTAGTTTCAGGTGTTTGATTTGTAATTTTATTGCACTGTGGTAACAAAAAGATAAGAATTTCATAAGGTACAGACCTCAATGTATACTCATTTAGGCTTATGAATATTTAGAAATGCCCTGTCCAACACAGTAACCACTAGCCACATGTGACTAGTATTGAGAAACTCAAAATGGGGCTAATGTGACTGAGGAGCTAAATTTTTAAATTTTATTTAACATTTTCATCACCCTCAAAATATTCCGCATGCCCACTTGCAATCAGTCTCCATTCTCACCCTTACCCCAGGAAACCACTAATCTGCTTTCTGTCTCAGTAGATTTTCCTGTTCTGGACATTTCATATAAATAGAATCATACAATTTGTAGTCTTTCCCATCTGGATTCTTTCACTTAACACACTGTTTTTGAGGTTCATCCATATTGTAGCATGTGTCAGTACTTCATTCCTTTCATTGCTGAATAGTATTCCACTGTACGGATATATCATATTTTATTTATCCATTGACCAGTTGATGGACATCTGGATTGTTTCAATTTTAATTAATTTAAATTTAAATATGAAAGCAGGTAAAGCATTTTTTCTTTAAGCATAATTTCATTACATCAACAGAACTACATTTCTATTAAAACTTTGAAAAGGTTATATGTTAGTATGTGAATTGAGATGTGCTATAAGTGTAAAATACACACTGAATTCTAAAGACTTAGAATTAGGAATATTCTTCTTTTTTTCTGTTTTTAAAAAATCAACTTTATTGAGCATAATTCACCTACATTAACATCCATGTTCAATGTCCAGTTTCATGAGTTTTGATAAATGTACGTAGTTTTTTTTTAAAAGATTTTATTGGGGAATTGGGGGGAGGGGAACAGCGTTGGGGAATCGGAAAAGGAATATTCTTAAAGAAATAAAATAGAAGATTGAAAGGATGAAGAAGGAATAGAGAATATCGAAACAAACTGAAAGATTAACAAAATAGAGTTTCTACAAATGGGAGAAAAGGCATTAAAAACTCAGCTCTGAATATTTCCAGCAATGATAGTAACCTTGTATTTTTTAGCAGGCACTGTACTATTTTACATGTATTATCTCTTCACCCTCACAGCAACCAGTGAGGTAGGGACTATCATCAGTTACCATTTGCACTTGAGGAAACTAAGGCTCAGAGAACTCAGCCTGTCCAAGGTCACCTAGCTAGCAAGTGGGAATGCCCGATTTGACCCCATTCTGACTCAGTTTATATTTTTATCCATTATAGATTAATGGAAGTCCACCAGAGATGCAAACAAGATATGTGTTTCACTACAGCTGGCCTTTAGCTTTAAGGAACAGTGGGAGGGATGAGCCGAGCAGGAAGGGCAAGGAGATGACTTGGTAAAAACAGGGGTTCTCTTTGCTCAAATTGACAAGTTATTTTCACACACTACACCTGCTCACTAGCCAATTCACTCTTTCAGAAGGCTTACCTGTGCAAATGAGGCCCAGACTCTGCCCTCTCATCCCTGAGAAATACCTCAGCACAAAAACCCATGGCTTTCAGGGGCAGCTCCTAGAAAGCCTGGCAATACCCCTGGCCCAGCAGCAAAATAAGATAAGATGCACCAAGGGAGCTGGGGAAAGAAGCCAGCCTGGTGACGTCCCATGGTTCCCTCAGTGACGTCTGTCCACAGCAGACACCGTCCCTCCAGGGACCCAGGGCTCAGCCAAGAGGCCTCTGGTTTTAAGACCAGCTCTATGGAGCTCTGATAGCACTGCCCTTCCAAAGCCTTCTGCAATGAGAATTGCCCCCCAGCACTCTGACCAAGGTTGCTGATGGGTCAGTATTCAGTCCTGGCCAGGGGGTTCTTAGCAGTGATGACTGAAAGAAAGGACCTTGTGACAAGAGAGCCAGCCAGCCCAGGTTGTTGACGTGTACGGGCCTGGGCACTGTGAGAGTGACAGGGCTATTTCTGTCCCAGCAGAGTGTTGTCAGCAAGCAGAAGGCGAGGGGTGATGCTCCAAGCAGTGCCACTTGCTAAGATCTGGGCCCCAACAGCCTAAGGACCTGAAACTTCCTTCACTGTTGTTTCACAAAACCACGGGAAGGTGAGGGGCCCTAATGACTGATATCCAGACACAGGAGCCAGAGAACCTGGAGATCACCTCACCATTTTGAAAAGAGCATCACTCACTATGATCTTTTTATCTCTCCCTTCTCCCTGGAATCTTGATCATAGTGCCTGCTCGCCACCTACTTGGTTATTGTCCCAGGTTATGCTCCACAGTGAGCCTCAGTCAGGGAGGACTCTTGTTCCTGATAGGCTTCAAAGGCCCTGGTGCAGTGACCCTGGAAGACCATTGTAACTGGCACCAGGCAAATAGATACATGCTGAAGATTGCCAAAGATGCCCCTCAATTTACACAAGAGCTGCGTTCCTGGAAAGTTGTTCATAAATTGAATCCTATTGAGGTTGCAATGCTGAGGGCAAGATTCCAGGCTATGAGTGCACAGGGGTTGCCACCCAAGCCGAAACCCAGAGTGTCATCCTTTACCCCTCCCTTTCCCACACGTTTGCTATCCAATCATCCACCAAGTCCTGATAGTCTGCTTTCTTAACCTGTCTTTAGGCAGTCCCATTCCATACCCACTGCCCCTCTGCGTCAGACCCATTGTGTATCCCCTGGACTCCTGACTCTCCCTGCTCCAATCATCCTTTGTTCTGCCTCTGTAATGGTCCTCCTAAAATGCTGCTGTAAGGATGTCAGTCATTGAGGAAAACCTTCCGACTACTCCCCACTACTCTCATGATAAAGTCTAGTGCCTTATCAAACCACCTGGTCCCACCCCCACACCTCTCCAGCCTCATCTCCAACCTTCTACCTTCCATCCACATCCAGGGACTGCTTTGGTCCTGAGCGGTCCCCTCTGAGATTGCTGCCACCTTATCTGCTCACTTTTCAAGGTTCTGCACCAGCAGCCCCTCCTCCAGCCCAGGAAAGCTCAGCACTTTCCACACCTGATGGCCCCCACTAGATTTGCCATCTCCCCATTAGAGAAGAAATTCCATGAGGGCAGGAGCTGTGTTTACTCAGCATCAGTGCCTGGGACTCAGTAGGTTCACCTAGAACATGCCTGCAAAATAAATGAATAAAAAGGGGAAGGTGTTGTTTTGCTCTTTACTTATTTATCATATGTTTAATTTTATCTTTATTATGCTTTTCCTGATTATAAAAGGATAACGTGTTAATTGTCAAAAATTCAAATGGAGAAAATATATAACTTAGAAAGGGAAAATCCTTATTGTGATATAAATGCCTTCTGTATTTTTCCCTATGCTTATACTATGCATAGAAATATAAATTAGATACTCTGAATATTTGTTTACTTTTTACCAATATAGGATCATATCATAATGACTTTTCTTCCCACTAAAGACATTTTATATATTTTTCCATATTTATGCATAGGGATTTAACTCATTCTTTTTTAAGACATATATGGTATTTCATTGTGTGGGTAAAATGCACTTAGATGAGCATTTTCTGTGGGAAAAACTCCCAGAAGTGAACCTATTAGGTAAATCGATAAGAACATTTTAAATTTTAATAGATAATTGCCAAATTGTCCTTCCAAAAAGACTGTAGTAATTTGAGTACATTTGGTAGTAATTTATATTCCCACCAAGAGTGTGGCAGTGCCTGTTTATCCACATCTTCACCAACATTGAGTCAATTAAATCTTTGCCAACCTAATGAAACACACACACACACACACACACACACACACACACACACACACACACACAATGTAACCGCTTGAGATGCTTCTTCAGTGGCTGGTTTGTTCATAATCTCTATTTTCCTATTGGGTTCACTTGAAATACCTCTACGTATATCAGTGAAATCAGTCCTTTCTCCTGCGTGTTGCACTTTTTTCCTCATTTGTCTGTCTCCTGACATTTAACGGTATAGGGAATGGCTAGAGCACAGAATCTGAAGGCAGGCTACTTGACAATCCTGGTTTGTCTCTAACTCACTGGCTGAATCCCCACAGTTTAGTCACTTAACTTCTGGGTCCCCACTTATAAACCAAGGAATAAGAACAGTACTTAACACTTGGGATTATGAGAATGAATTGATTTAATGTATATAAAGTGTTCAGCATAGCACTTGGCATGAGATAAGTGCATAGGGGTATATGCCATTATCATCATCATCATCATCATCATCATCATCATCATCATGCATTCAAATAGTTTTAGTTTTCATGCAGTCAAATTTATTGATCCTTTATGGCTTCAGGATGTCATGTCATGCTTAAAGGCTTTCCTCCCTTTAAGATTAGAAAAATATGCACTAAGGATGCTGTTTGAAGGAGTCCATGGGGAATCTATCTGTAATGGGTCCCCCTCCATCCCCCATTTTGCTGTCCTGTAGATTAATGTGGCTTTTCACGTACCAGGATTTTTTTAAGTGAAGACCTACTTGTGTTTACATCGTGTGCAAGGACTAGGTCAGGTTGCCTTATGGCACACTGGTTTGGGAAATGGATTGTGCTAGCTGTAGGTTCATGTCTAAAAAGTGAGCCTGGGCAGATCATCCCCTCCCTTCATAAAAGAAACAACTTCTGCTTGTCAGGAAGTACTGGCCTTATGCCAAGATTCCTACCCTGAAGGAATTCACAGTCCGATGAGACAACAGACTAGTCACCAGATGAAAGGTGTCATAGAAGGCCTCAAGGTGAAAATAACATCCTTGATGGAAGGAAGAGCTTCCTGGGTGGATGGAGAGGACAGCCCAAACAGTGGGGACAGGATGTTCAGTCACTAGTCTACAAACACGTACCTGCCTACGGTGCATCGGACCTACTCACTACCTCTGCACAAATAGGGAGGCAGGGAGGACGGGCCGGAGTGTTGGAAGGAGGTGGTGAGATGGACAGTCAGGCCAGATCACAGAGCATTGGACTAAGACTTCTCTCAGTTCTAGAATGCAACTAGTCAGATAGGCTTAAGAAAGTTACTTCACTCCTCGGGGGTCCACTTTGCTTATCCATAACATGCAGCTATGTCCTTAGGCAGCTGTGCGAATTCTCTAAGATTGCACATGTGCAAACGTTGTGTCCTGTGCGACAGAAAGATTTAACACCCTCAGGGCACTTTGTGCTGCTGACTGATAACTGGAGTTGTTTCTGCCTAGAGGGCTCCACTGTGGGTGCGGCCTGCCCACACGACCTGGGGCTCCGGAGCCTGCTTCCTACAGAGGGGGCAGCTTCCTGCTGGACCCTGGCCTCGGCGTTCACAGCCCCACCCTGTCTCCTCAGTCTGGGCTCTTGACTCTCCCTAGTCTTCTTGTTGACCCAGGTCTCTAGTCCATTGCCCTTTAACATTGATAAAGATGCTCCACAGGAAAGACTGAGCCTGCTCCCCTGACAGGTCGTTAGTAGACAGGATAGAAATTGCCCCTGGCACCTACCGGGTCCCTCTGGCCTCATTTTTCCTAGACATTGGCATGGGCCCCTCTCCATCTCTGACAATTCTACCATCTGCTCATGAATAAGGGTTAAAGGCTTGGGGGAGTGGGGTGCATCTTCCACCCAGACCTCACCTTCTCTCCACACCACTAAAGCCCAGTGAACAGAATCCTTCAGCAGTCTCTCTGTAGGGCAGCCCCACACCCTGGGCCTTACAGTCCAGTGCAGTGGGCACCGAAAGGCACCTGGCTGTTAGGGAAAGAGCACGTGATGGAAGTTATGGAGACTTGTGTTCTTATTTCAGCACTGGCTAGTTGTGTGACCTTGGGCAGGTCCCTTACCCTCTTTGGTTCTCAGTTTCCGCATTTGTAAAATGAGAGGGCTGGCCACAGGGCAGAAACTGATGCCCTGTTGGCAGACGGAATTGTGACAGTTTGAAGTCGAATGCCTTTCAGGGGGGCCGCCACTCCCAGGAAGAAGCATTTCCTGCCGTTTCGACCACTGAAGGCGTCTGAGTTTTGTGTTCTTTGCTGCTTCCCAATCCTGGCCCTTGGGAAAGGAGCCAGCAGTTTCTGGTTCAATTTTGGGTACCATTATTTGAGAGGCAGAACACCCCACTGGCCACAAAAGGAAATAGAGAACTAGATCCAGCTAGGTTATCTCACCTTTGGAAGCCAACCTTGACCGAAGATGCAAACAGTGAGGAAGCCACTGGGTTTCCCAAGGCCTGTGGTCCTCTTGGCAACAAAAAACCCGAATACTTTTCTCCTGCACTCACCAGTACTCTGGGCTGGCTTCACAGGGCCCGCTCAGAAGGGCCCAGCACTGAGAAAGGCCCATGCTTGGTTTAATGCTCTGCTGTTGCCATAGAAATTCTTAATAATGAAATGGGGGCCCCACATGTTTATTTTGGACTGGGCCCTGCAAATTACTGTGGGTTACATTTATACCCATTTGGAAAACTTTCACCAGTGTTATTTACTGGTCTCTCCCATTAGGGTGTTGCTTCCCAAAGCAGGGACTCTAATTACCAGAGGAAGAACATTCTGAATTCTTCTTGTCCTTCAAGATCCAGCTGAGATGGCACTGATTCA